CTCGAAACGCTGATTTCAAATCTGACCTCAGTGTCTGCGAAACATTCTTCTGAGGGTAATTACGAATTTTTGAAGAAAATTTGGGCATTCCTGAACAAACGAAATCACCAGTATCGGTCTAATTCACTGCTTGATGCCACGGAACAAAATCCTAGGCAGAGAACCATAGCATTTAGATGAAAAAATAGCATTTGAAAATATAAGGAAAATTTGCATTGATTATCTTGACCCTCCGTAATAATGCATTTTTTCCATGAGAAAATAATCATAACTTCAGCCAGATAAGCATTTCGCAGATATGGAAGACATTCGAACCAGCAATCAAGTTCGCATCAACCGATAAATCCGCATCTATTGTACCTCACTTATGAATGGCCACGGTCGCCAATATCCTTCCCTTTTTAGAGGTTATGGAGCAAAATTATGTGATGTTACTTCAGATCATTCAAAATTTTGACATCACAAATTTTATACTCTGTTGTTTTTTTACTGCTGCACAGAAGTACCAGAACACTCTAGAAAGCTGCGGAATCTTCCTCTTCCTTATGGTGTTAGCGTTTGAGATTTTCAGCTTTATGACATGTGAATGTGTGATAGGAAAATGATAAATTTTTGCGCACTCGGCTGATCATCAGTTTCAAGATACCTCAAAAAATGTGGTCCCTAGATGGCTTCTAATGATACGAATTTTACGTTGCAAGAATTCTTGCTAATGCTTGGAACTCATGAGCTTTTGTGGTTCGAACACCGTAGTTCACATTGTCTCAGAGAAATGCTTTATAATAGTTTCTCCACAGAGTCGTTTTTTTAACTCTTGATCTTCAAAGTGATTGAAAACCCAATATTTTGAGCAAACAAACCTTCTTATCTGAAAAAGTTATATCGAGCCAAAAATGCAGAACGTCAATGATGCAGCAAAGATGTACTAGGTGGGGATTACCAATCGTGGATTCGATCCTTATTTTGTCCTTTCGAGCCGGACAAGCGTAAAAGTTGCTTTGAAGCCGCTTTAACTAGCCAATCTTCGGCAGCGTCGTGATGATGAAAAAAATCCTTATCTATCGCAAATTGTTGGATTGCAGATTCTCTGTGATGCCCGAACGATGCTTGAAAGAATGGCTCATAGAGGAGCATGCTCTTGTGACAATGATTCTGGAGATGGCGCTGGAGTACTCACTGCGATACCCGATCTCATGTACAGAAAGTCTGTTATGGAGTAAGTTCTTTTTCTCATGCTTGATGGGA